AAACTGTCCAGTTAAATATTACGTCACAAATTACGAGCCCTGCATTATTAATTTATTCCTAATTTGTTATGGTATCACAGCGTTGACTTTTTGGAGACACCATTACGACCTGAAGATGTGCCTGGATCCCTTCACTATTGATGATCCGCATTTGGTTGTCTCATACATGTGACACAAAAAAATTAAATTCTCTCATTTTTGTTGTCGTTATCTACGGTCAGGAACCATAATGATTAAATTAAATCAAGAATAATAATGCCTGATGTACATGACCATTAATAATCGACCGATTAAAAATTTACTGTTAATAAATCACTAAGGTCAGAACAGTCAAAAAGTAGGTTAGGATTCTTAAACTTAAAACAGAAACGTAAATGTTCATTTTCATCTTCCATCGCCGCTTCCCCTTTTAGGGCGCAGAGGCAGATGCGTCAGACAGTGCTTCCAACGTTCCCGATCCTGCGCCAGAGTCTAAGCTTTGGCAGAAGACAACCGTTATCTAGAGCAGACTCCTTCCATATATTTGCACCAGGTTAATCTTGACCCTGTACTGGGCCTTCTGACGGTCGGTTGGGGAAGAAGTAGATACTTCGAATTCCCTTATGGAGCATTCGCAAAACGTTCCCAAATCAATGTCTGTATTCCGGACCAAATTGAGAGGCGTAAAGCCAGCGACTCGTCTCAGGAAGTATAATTCGAATTAAACCTGATTGAAAATTCATGCCGAATCAGTGTCCACGAATAAAACGAATCTTATTAGCTATGGGCTATGGAGATATTAAGCAAGAGGGGTGAAAAGCCTCTACCGTGTGCATACATCGCCAAGTATCGACAACTGGAGCTGACTAACAAGGTCAGTTTAGTATTTTCGAATAACCACAAGGGGCACTGGAGTGCCATACTGTCATCAATTTATGTACGTATGTCCTCCTGCTGCCGTCAATCCCATATGATAAGCATACGAAAGAAGAACCATACAATCATACGTTGAGACGTTCTACTGATTGAAATATATGTGAAATCGGTTCTTGATCAGGCGTAAGTCAGTGACGGAATTAGACAAACGACCAGTAGCTCTACCATGTC